CATCTCCATTTACATAATACGGCGCTTAGTCTATATTAAGCCAGGCAGAGATCCCTGCTTTCCAATGCCATCTGCATATTTCTCGAAATGGGCCTTTTTCACGAACCAGTCGTCAAGAAGCCTGGGAAAATCAGCTTTCCGCAATCCTTGATTTGAATTTAAATCGGCGATCTTAGATCACTAGCGAATTAAAAGCAAGATACGAATACATTAAGATAATATAACCATACATAGATATCAAAATAAGGTTAAATAGAAAAAAAAATGTCGTTTGGAAGGTAAACAAGGTAGTCTTGTCTGAAGAGGATGGATTTTCTATATATATATTTATGGGCTTTAAAGCCTCATAATAACACAGAAAATAAATAAATAGAAATTATATAACGTAACTTTTAATATAAACCAGGTGTAATACGGTAGTTCAAATTCCTTTCCGGACTCTCAGGAGAAATGAATTTTGATGAATGTGTTATCAAACGAAAGGGAATTTCATGAAGAAGTGGAATTTCGATCCTTAAGGCCCCTAGATGAAGAGATCGATACATCGGCGATACGATATTCCTGTCGGCGTAAGTGTCTCTCTATAGGCTAGACTTCAATAGTGAATAATCCTGGTTCAAGACTGGTCTCACTAAAATTATCTTCATGGGCGGGGTGGCAGAATATTATTCTGCTATCGCGTGTGCACTGCACCGTCCGTTTCCAGGCAACCTTGATATATGACTCAATGATATAAAAATAGTCATGAGTTCGCGTCCCGGTGCTGGGCGAGTCTTTTTAAATCCCCGCTCACACCCCATGGCTCGGGAAAACCTCGTATAGCCTTAACGGCGAGGAAGGAGAGGACAAAAAAAAAAATCCTTTCGGCGTATGATTGTTTAGAGATATAGTTGTAGTACTATCTATTGCATTATAGCAGTCACAGAGAGCGCGATAATCCGCAGCCATACCGACAAAATATTTCGTATCGCCTGGTCACATCGTCTTCTGTCTGTTGTAACTTTTAAATTCCTACAGCAACTTTACTACAAGTCATATTAGTCAGAAGCCATACGATGGAAAGAGCGGATGTGTAAAACATGTGCTTATAACCTTAAGTACATTTACTGTAGCTTAATAACTCTAGGTCCGATATTATATTTAAATAATTAGGTATACATCGTAGATTTATTCTTAATTTATTATTAATGAAAAATTCCTTTGTGAAGTCACAACCACTAACAATTAGTGTAACGACTTATGACCTAACGATGCTGTATTTAAAAGCAAGTAACTGTATTCTGGTATGTTTTCCAAAGATAAAAAATATGTATCTAAATGCATGTAAAAATTATTAGAGATCTAGAAGAAGTATGTTATATACATAAAGTAAAAGGAAAAAGTAAGGAGAAGACTTTAACTAAGTTTTATTAATTTATAGTTTATAGCGACACACGTTTTTCGATCCCCCATAAATATAATTCTGAATTTGATTGACACGTTGTTTCAAGTTTTCAAAGCAATTAGGGATACATAAATAGTTATTTCATATACATAAATAGTTACACATTGGAGTGATAATGACGACTATAGTTATATATATATATTTGATAACTAATAGCTGTTTAAGTAATAACAGGATATTAGAACTTAAAAGTGAATGTCCTAGCTCTGGATGTTGTCACCTAATAGACCATTTCAAGGTTGTAATTTTAAATTATCTAAGAACAACAAGTTGATAATATATAAACCAGGTGTTTAATTTAAATTATTATTTGATATTAGAGGTTAATGTCTCTAATAAACATTTCTTCAACATGAAGAACAACAAAAATTTAAATATAGTCATCTCCCTCAAATATTTTACCCATCCACGCCATTAATAATAGTTGCAATTTAATAATTTTACAATAATCCTTTCCAAATTTACTTGTAGGTTTTCCTATGGAAGTTTGCAACAGGGATGTGGGTAATATTTTTTTCTGAAATATACATAGATATATCAATATAAAAACATCGATATTTTGTCCAATATTATTTATATATAATAATATCGCTGAATTTGGGGGAGTGAGGTCGCCGAACGGGCTAAAATATGTGCTCAGCACCTCCGTTGCCCGGCAACCTGATATATAGATAACCGGATAAAATTAGTTACGAGTTCGCGTCCTGGTGCCGGGGTTCTTTTAAATCTCCGCCCTCACCCCTTGGCCAGGGAAAACCACGTATAGCTTTAAAGGTGAGAAATGGGAGGGAAAAAAAAATTATGGCTGAATTATGTGGCTGACACGTACATTTTATTGATAATGTAGTTCCAGTCACTATTAATTCAATTTTAATTTTGTACGCAACAGTATGGGGATGATTGACCATGGGTTCTAATTTTAGAGGAAGTTAGTTGGGAGTGCGGTAAAAAAAACACTATATTATATAATAGCAATAAAATATATTATCACATAATATAGTATTTTTTTACCGCACCTCCCACTAACTTCTTCTTTAATTTTATTCATTTGCTTTAGTTGAGCATTTTAATTCACTTTTTCATTTCATCCTCTTTGTGATGAGCTATTATTCAAAACTGTTTCTTTACGCAGAGCCGTATTACAGTGCCGATAACCAAATGATAGCGAGTTTTATAGAAGATATGAATTAAAATATCTCAGAAACTGAAATTCGGACTTGGATACTGTAAGCAAGGGAAATTTTCAGCATTTCATCCTCTTTACAATGAGCTATTATTTATATTTTATATTTCATATTATTAATCTCGCCTTGTTGGCGTTTTCACTTCTATCGTGTAGTCTAAAGCGCACAATTTTTTTCTGATGTTTCGTTTCAAATGCTCACTAATCACTGGTTTATAAAATTTATTATTGAATGCGATTATTCGTTCTATATAATTATTCTCAGGAGCAACACTTTTTCTTTTCTTTTTTTTAAGATTATTTATTATCTTAATTGCTTATTTGTTACTAATTTATGAGGGAAAATAACATAGGTACTAGTTTAACTATAAAATGACTCATTGAAATGTCGCCTATAGGTTCCTCTGATCTAGGAAAGGACAATGGTTTATCAGACAATCGACATACATAACAAAGGCGGACTGTGAAGGTCAGGTAGATCGATACCTGGATATCTCTCCACTCAAGATCAGAAGATCATCGTAATATGTAATCAATACACATTTATATTGATTTTTAAAAAAATTTTTACAATGTCAAATGTGGTACTATTAGTTGAAACTGTTTGAAAAAAAAATAGATTTTGTATATGCCCCTTAAATCAGTTCAATTTTCGTAAGAATGTTATACTTTAGTTTTTAATCGTTTCTGTAACAACACATATTTAAAACACTGATGTGTTATTACTATATAAAAATATGAGAATATTATTATTTAATTATTTAGAGCCAAGTGTGTTTGTTTTATATTATAATGTATATTTTAATTATAATTTACTGATTTTTTTTCCAATGATTTAATTTCTTTATTCTTTTGATTAGAAATATTATATGAACGATTACTGTAATTAACTATTTACCGAAAATGAGGCACTGGTAATATTTGACAATCAAAACAGTTCATCTCTTAAATAACTTAGAAATATTGACAGACATATAAAAGACCATGGCATTTATCTAACATAAGTTCAAATAGAATTCTTCTTTTTCAATCATCATGCAATTTTAATTATTAAAAAAAATAATTAACCCTCTATGAATGTGAAATATTTAATATCAAATTTTAACTTACATAAAAAAAAAATCTGACATGACATTCTATTTCGGGTATACTTTTTTCACTCAGATAAAATGATTTTTTTTTTCTCATGGCAATAATTATATTATAGAGGCTCAAATTCTGTACTTGGGAATTTAGGTTATTTTAACTTATCATGAAAATTAAATTTATATTATATGAGGAAATGTGCGTTTGGGAGTAAGCGTGTTATCATATCTTTAAATCCAAAACCTGACATTGATAACAGACATATTGGGAACATGTTATTTTTTTTGTTTAATTTTTGGAGTAACTTGAGTCTTTAGAAGCTGTTCGTAAAAATAATTTTTGATTTATAATTTTCTTTGACAGTTCATTTTTTGTGCAAATAGCCCTGATATCACAGAGCAACTCAAAAGTAGCACAATCAACTTTTGCTTCTTTCGATTTTGCCAATTTTTTTCGATAAGTTATTCAATTGTGTTCCAACTTCTATATGTCATAACTTTCACAGAAAATTGTAAAGTGTCAATCTCAAAGAATTTTAAACATTTTTTGATAAAAATATCAGTCAACATAAGCTTGCATCACATCCACCACAGTTTGCCTGAGGCACAACCTGAGGCAGGGGCAATTGTGTTTTAGGTATTACCAAATTGAATAACCTATCTTATAAGTATGGTCTTAGTTTAATCTGTGGCATCAGTAATAATGTTTAAAATACGATCGACTAAGGATCATTTAAAAAACAATGAGGAAAAATCGAAATTAAAAAATAAAGACGTTACAGTAATTTAAAATTATACTTCATAAAATATAGTTAGTTTATATTTATAGTATTTTATATTTTATAATATAAAAATATATTATAGTTTATATAGTTAGTTTAGTTTGTTTTGTATATAGAATTTTTACCTTATATTTTTTTTTACATTATAGATTTTATTTTGGCCAGATGTAATATATTGATTTTTTCTATTTTGTTATTCTCAAGGGACTGTGTCCCAGAATAAAGTTATTTTTCTATTTCTAAAATATAATGTGCACTTACCTCTCATTATTCCATTAGATTTATAATCTATTTCGATATTTCGTTGATCTCAGAGAAGTTTTTATTTATTGAAAATTATTAGTTATGTTATTTAGAAGTTCCATACCGATGATTTACTACTAAAACCTTGTAAATATAAATCATTTATGATGTAAATACAAAGTTTTAAAGATAATTCATCGATAACTTTCTCAGATGTCGTATTTTAATTATGTTCTATTTTGTTATTCTAAAGGGACTTTGTCCCAGAATAAAGTTATTTTCTATTTCTATTTCTATTTCTATTTCATAAGTTTCGTAATATTTTTTTATTTTTTGTACTTTACCTGTTTCTATTGCCTCACTTATCTCAACAATTATCTCTAAATAATATTCTAGAGGTGGCTTTTATTGTTTTGTAAAGCAATATCATTATGAATTAAATCTGTATTAATCTTATTAAGAAGGATCAAGTCGCAAATTCTTTGAAATAAGAATGTTCGTCTTACCAACATACATCCTGATCAATGGTGATTTGTAGCGATTAATATTGCCCAAATGCGAGACCGAGACTAGTCTTGGTCTTGGAAGCTCAGTTTTGGTCATGGTCTTGGTCTTGCGCAAGAGTCTCGCAAGAGCCTTGCAGTTACTTATTAGCTTATTACCATAGAGATATTATTGTATTTCTTTAGATAGGAGAAACCTAACTAAGCCCGAATGAAAAATTAGAGGAGTTAAATGCAAAAGCATGTTGATTATATCAATTATTAACGTATAGGAACTAAGATTGTCTAGTATTAGTAACTATTTTGTCTTAATTTTTATTTAAAAATTGATTTTGACTATTATTTCTAATTTTGTATTCAAAGAAACCGGTCATAATTTCTTTTATGAATTCAGATCCTTCAGTAATACATTTAATATAAAATTGTTGAGGAGTTTGTAAAGGTATGAAGGGTACACAAATGATAACAATATATTTTAAAAAAGAACGCGCTTAAATAATGACTTTATTAACTAGGCGAAGGAGATATGTACAAGGAGGAAGCGGCGATGGGATGGTGACTAGGCCTTGTTGAAGGTGTAGCTGAAGCCGTCAGGTGACCTGTTGAGAGAGAGCTTGCCGGGGGGGAAGAACCTATGGGGAGGTGGGGTGGTGGTGTAGCTGGGGGCCCTGTACTGGGGTTGAGGGGCGGGTGGGTTGTACTGTGGTTGGGGGGCGGGTGGGTTGTACTGGGGTTGGGGTGCGGGTGGGTTGTACCTCGGTGCGGGTGGGTTGTACTGAGGAGCGGGTTGGTACTGGGGCTGTGGTGGCGGATTGTACTGCTGCTGTGGGGGCCTGTACTGCTGCTGTGGGGGCCTGTACTGTTGCTGCGGGGCCCTGTACTCAGGCTCAGCAGGGGGGTTGTACTGCGGGAGGGGGGTGTACTGTGGCTGTGGGGCCACTGGAGGCACCTGGGCAGGCCCAACTGGAAGGTGGGCGCCAGTTGCCTGGAATCCGTTCTTGCCGGCGACGTAGCTCACGGTGCGCCTCTCTCCGGTGGGGTCGACCCAGCTGTAGGTTCCTCTTCTGGTACCATCGGCGTCGGACTCTTCCTTGAACTCTACTCCATCCTCTTGGGTGTAGGCGGCCCCGAACTTGCCGTCTCCTTGCTGATACCGTGCTTCGGTTAGGATCGCTGCGTTCCTAGGATCATTCTGGTACTGAGCCGATGCATAGGCTGCTAGCGCTAATAGACAAACCTGAAACACATAATGACAGAATTATTTTATTACATTGACGAACCACTTAACTCATGAAATATTATCAAGTTATTCTGTTCTACAATAACAAACACGCTGTGAACGTTGTGTACTATTTCAATTAATTAGTAACTGAGACTAGTAGGTCTTGAAACATTTTTCTTATTTTGGTTTCAATATATCTCACTATTTCTAGCTTACTGGGAGGGAGATGGAAGTTCTTCTAGAGATGCAACCAAATCTATAATAATCAGAGAGGAAGGGTCAAGTTTCATTCCATGGGTCCGCGATGAAATAAATTTCACTATAAGCCTTAAACACTTGTTTATCTCGGCATGGAATTCTTGAAGCTTGTTTTTCTTCAGATTTTTCTCAATATCAAAAAACATTTTATTGTTTTTTTTTTCGCTTAGCTCCTTTAAATATACCAACTGGAGACATCAACCATCGGAGAAGAGTAAAGGAACTCTAGTTTAAAATAAGTAGCACTATAAACTTTATTAATCCCTTTGAAATTACATAAGCTTAGTTTACCTTTTTTTTTTGTCAAACAACGGACAAGTCTTGTTTAGTTTTTATAAAAAAAAAAATTTGTTTAGACGTGACTGTTTTCAAATAGAGATGGACAAATGCCACTCCGAGTACCGAGTACCAAGTATTTTACTCAAATTCAATCACTATTGGGAATTTAATCACTAATTCAGGTTATCGCTTGACATCAAATGAAGTAGTAATTAAATTCTTTGGCAATCAAAAAGGGTCAGTATTTCAGTAAAATTTTAGCATTTGCCCATCTCTGTTTTCAACGCTCTTCTGGTGTAAATAATTTTTATTTATGGTTGTTTTGGGGAAACTAATGTAAAGTCGTTTTTACCAATCACTTAGCGCTATAAGAGATTTTTTTCCAGCCATTGTGTACAACAGATGGACTGAATACGAAAAATCAATGAATAAAAATGTCTGTCAACAGGTATTTCATATTGTTTCTCTAACTAAACTCGTATAACTAATATTTTATCATTAAAACGAAAAGAATGAATAATTTGTTTAGGCGATAGAAATTAATAACTAACAATGAACAATAACTATCTTCTAATAGATAAATTACCATATATTATACATTAATTAGTTCTCATAAAATCGTTCCGACTTGTTATCGAAGGATGGATCTTGCGAAATAAAATCTGAAATCTATTGCTTAACAATTACTTTAAATTAATTACTTGGGAAGTAATTAGTTACATATTTGTTAATAGTTACTAGTTACCGAGTGAATCGTTCCAATAGTTGCAGTTCTCAACCAATGGTTCCCACTGGTATTGTCAGCATCTTGCTACTTCCTGTCCAATACTTGCAACTTCATACCTAATCGATGTCTTGATCAAGACATGTGAAAAACTGTTATTTCGATTACCTATTTATATTGATATGTAGACGAAATAAATATCGATACTTAAGGAATTTTTATCAAAATCGATATCTCCATGCCCACTTTTGTTTGTAATGTGACAATAAAAATTGATTTTTCCACAATTTGGAGAAGTTTAATTTGCCTGAAAAAGCAATTTTTGCATTCATAATATTTATGAAAGGGAAAAACATTAATGATTATGTATGGCTAATAAGGAAATATGGATGTTTGGTTGCGATATATTTTTTACGTATCTTTCCTAAAGTGGATGTTTCGTTTTCTTGTAAATTATATTTTAGCTGTCGTCTAAAAATGATCCTGGACATACTTGAGCATGCTTAAGAAATTTATACAGAAAAATCATGCAAATTGGACCAAAACTTGAGAAATTATAGGTCACAAGTCCATCTCGCCTTTAAAAAAAAGTTTAAACGATCAATAGATCATTGAAACTAACTAAATATCCTATAAGTTTATTTCAAAACGTACCACTAACAATATTACTAGAAAAGCTACTGTTGAGTCTTTTATTACACATTTAAAACAATTTTACAGTATTTTTTTTTAACGTTCTATAAAAAACTTTCTCTAAAAAACAAAACAAAACATTAGTCATATAAAAACATTATTACTTAAAATTTATATGTATATAGAATACTACGCTATAGTAGTACTTATTTTATTAAATATAATAAAATGTTTTTTTTAATTTTTCTATGTACTTATATATTTTAAGAAATTTTTAGAAATAATGTTTTTACATGCCTAATGTTTTGGTTTTTCTTTTTAATAAAAAAAAATTTTGAAAATGGCTCTTGGAGCCGAAATGTTAAAAAATAATATTTTTTAAGTATTCTAAAAATGTTTTAAATTTATAATAAAAGATTGTGAGATTCAAAAGGGTTTTAATAAAACAATAATCATATATAGATTAAGTTTAATAATTAGATAATTTTTTCATTTGCCCACTGAATATTTTAAAAATAATTAGGTAATTTTTTGTTGGACAATATTTTCAATGTGTGGAATTAAAAATTTCATAAGAAATGATTACATTCATGTTTCCAAAAGCTACCAACTTATTGTAAATTTGAAAATTTACAATAAGTCAAAACCCTTTTTTGAAATTTATATTGTATTGATAAGGCTTGGGTAAGGGAGAAGGAAGTATGGAATTCTGAATAAATGAAGGGTTAATAATAAGAAGTCTCAACGGAAAAAATAAAGTAAAATATACAGGGAAGTAAAAAAATAAAATAAAAAATAATAATAGTCACAGTATAAGTACAATCGTTCCGTTATTTGCCAGGTACTAGGAAATATTAGCTTAGTACCTTGGCTTCGGTGGAGGCCACATTCCATTCTTCGACCTTGTCCAACGAACGATATACGATTATAACGGTAGGTATCCACAGGAAGGGACAATCATTTAATAATGTTTTAATTAATACGTGTATATATATATATATATATATATATATATATATATATATATATATATATGTATGTATGTATATATACACACATATATAAAATATTAAGAATAAATATAAATATAGAATATTATGAATATAATAGGAGATATAATAACTTAAGACAAATATAAATTAATTTAATTTATATCTGTTATTTTTTTTTAACCATTATATATTTTCTAGGTTAATGGATGTAATATAAATGACAACAATATCATAAACAGTTGTTCAATTATGTAATAAGTTGGATTCATTCATGCTAATATTTCAAAAACAATAATAATTAGAACTTATAATAATAGTTATACTTAACTGAAATTTAGGCTAGTTATAAAACTATTTCATTCCATTATGTCTAATGAACTTGGTGTTTTGATAAACAGATGGATGTACTTCTATCCATATTTCCTATTTATGGGGTCCTAATTTCTTTTGTGTAGAAGTGTAAGTCCATTTGATCACCGTAGTTTTTATTTATTTTATCACATTTTTATTTATTTTATCATTGTCTATAGTCTATCATATTGGGAGACCTAGTAAAAATGTGATATATTTATTCTTTACTAAAACAAATGAACTGAAATTTGACTAGAGGGTTGTCAATAGAAGTACAAAATAAAACTCGAAATGCTCCTGCTGCTGGTCAAAATAACAAGGTTATATAGGCCAAATCCTCCAATTTTTTGCGATAAAGTTATCTTATGATTCAAATTGATAGCAAATGGGTAATTATGAGTTTTTGGTGTCTCTTTAAATTGATTAATTTAAAGATAAAACGCAACTTTCTAGAGAATTATCGTAGATAAAAAAGTTGAAGGTTAGGATAAGATGAAGCTATTTACGAAGTTTTAGTCGTATATTAATGATTTGATAAAACTAATCCTCATTTCTTTGCCTACAAAATATATATAACTTAAAAAAAATGACTTATTATCATTGCTCCTTCCTCCTATTCTCAACTCCGAAAAAAGCACTTCAACCCCTTTACTCAAACACCACTTAAATATTGGACATTTTTATAAAAAATGAGTAAAATAAAATATCAACTAAGTAGTCCATCGGTATTAAACAGCATAAATCTATAACACATTTATTTACTAAAATAAAATAATTAATCATATAGATTTGTAAAATTAAAATGAATTTAAAAATAAAACAAGCATAAAAAAAACTTAAAAAATATGTTTAATATTTCAGTCTATATTTAACATTTTATTGTGATATTTCTTTAACGATTTATTGCATATGTAACCGGTGGTAGATAACTTAAGTTAAAATACTTGTTTTTAAATTATTATATAAATAATATATAATAATATAAATAATTATATATAATATTATAGTAAATATATCCATGATTGATATGACAATGCTCTTGCCATGACATTTGGGTATTCCGGACGTGATAGAAAGGGAGTTCCAGGCCGAGATCGGACATTGTGCAAGCTTTCGATAAAGCATGGATTCACTTTACGTAACTTCTTTTAACATATTGTCTTGCATAGTAAGTTCAGTGAGAAATATAATTAATTCTAAGAATTGAATAATACTATGCGATTAAAATAGAATACCAGGAGAACAATTCGGACGTATTATGGGTAAGATTATAATAATATCTTACTTTTTTGAGGCCCAAATGGAAAAAATAACAAGTACAATCGTTGGATGAATATTTATATCATAACGAAGACAGATGATATTACATAATTATCGTCACATAATTAACAATTACGATTTGTTCACAGAAAATAAAAATTATTCAACAGGTCTCTATTAATTATTAATTAATAATAAAAAAGATTATGAAAAATATTTTCGACAAATCAATAATGATAAAATTATTTATGTATATTTACTCCTAAGAAAATAGTAAATTTCTTCTGATAGATTGGCAAAAAGTCTTAATTAATCAAAATAATAATAAATGAAAATTATTACTTTTATACGTGCTCTCTAACATTAAAAAAAGGAAATCATAAGGAAGAAAAATATGATAATCCATATACAAAAAATGAATAGCAGCTATAAAGTAAGAGATAAATAAATTACTATCACTTGAATTTCATTTAGTGACTTACTTTGTTTTATATATAATGACTAAATCGTCGTTAGTGTTTTAATAAGAGCTACAATAGATCCAAATATTGCACTTTTGACCCTAATAATTATAGAATTTATAATTGAATAATAAATTAGTGGGTATATATTACAAAAATATTGATCACTCAGCATTCATTAGCAACTTCTTTTATTTCTTGCTCTTTCTTTGTTTCGGTTACTGATATATTTTTATATAACGATTTTATTGAATATTAATATAGTCTGCCACACTGATGGGTATTGGTATTAGGGCTATAGTATTTATTCACATAATATGTACATAAGATAGGGAAATAATTATAAATATCTAAAGAGAAATTATATACATAGATACAAGATAAATAAAATAACAGATTGAAGTCGAATGGTGATAAAATAAATAAAACACATTAACTGTAATGTACAATATCACTGACATTGAAGACGAAGTATATTCCTTTGTCCGATAATAAAATTTACCCTGATAAAATATATCTATTTCTTAAAATAAATTTATGAATTTCTGAAAAGAATTTAACGCTACAAAAAAAAAAAAATTAACAGGAATGGTGATTGAATATTTGTTTTAAGCTAACAGAACAAATATTTTATATTTTTCAAAATGATTTTTTAAAAGTTTAATATTTTGTATAAACGGTTACAGATAATTTTCGTTAAAAGTATTTTACTATAACTAATTGGCTTATATGAATAAATCGCAAAGTATATTGGTCAGTGATCGAAATTCTGTATAATATGGAAAGAAGTAAATTAAATTTATTATAACAGGAGGGAATACATTTTCTTTCTAAATAATATTTATATATCGTATTAACGAAATATAATTGGTTTTACTAAAAATGGCCAGATTTCAATATATTTCTCTTATTTAAGGAAATTCATAAAACTTTCTGGCTCACTTTTTATATTAAATTAATTTTTTTCCTGACTATTTAGAGGAATCTGTTAATTGTTTGCACCTGAAGGGGAAGATAATCATCAAAATGAGGGCTCAATCATTGTATTTGATCAAGAATTAGCGAAGATATGGCATACGGAAAAAAAAATCTTTGAGAAATAACATATAAAGGTATTTATTTTTAAACGTGTTGAAAAGTATTAAATTTTGAATGTCTACTAATGTTAGCAAATACTATAAATTTGTGATTTTATTTTTTGGTTTTTATATAATTTTTTTATATAGTATCACTTTTAAATGAATTACAATTTTTATATGTATTCAGAAAAAATCATTTTAAAGGAAAGTTATATAATAAAATGTGGGGGAGGGGGGGAGTACAGCAGTACATTTATTTCCCTTTTTCCTCAGGGTATTCAAGCTGTTGATTTTACGTTTTATTATTCCGTTAAGCCGTATATTAAAACAGGTCGTCCTTGAAATGTACATTCTATTTTCATGCTAGATTTCATGCTAGATATGAGTAATAAAGGATAAAAGAATCTCAATCTATATAACGAAACAGAATTCGTGATTTATTACATTAATAAACTTTGATCTGCTATTAATTATAATATAATTTTACTTTTAATTAATACACTAAATATATATCCTCTGGTCTACTTACAGTCCTCAACATGACGGCTGGCGCGTTGTTAACTGACCGCAAGCCTTCCAGAAGTCTCCCTTATATAAGCGAGGTTCTCCTTGAGCGGCCCCACCCTCTTCGGGTGTTCTCAGAGTCCGGGATTAGGGATCGTTGCCCATCCGGAGGGTACTTCCGACAGCTCCGATTCTGGGTGTTTTCAGGAAGAAGGATTTCTTCTGGTACAGTCGACCGATCTAAGAGAGCGTGGGGTTGTCAGTGCCAGGACGGATAACGTCGGACTATCATAAGGATATTATGTTAGCTGTTACGAATAGATTATAACATTTCATTCATGCCACTAGTAATTAAGAGATGTTATCTTGGCGAATTCCTCGAGAGGAGCGCCTGCATTTATAATATTTCACTTTCTGGAGTGAATGATCTGGTGGTGATTGAAAATCCTGAAAAAAAAATCCCTCATTTCAACAATGAATTCTGTTTACTTTGTATATATTTATTTAAATTAGATAGAATATATATTCAGAATATTAAATCGTCTTTATTAGATTATATGTAAATTACACAAGATAGAGCGTGGTAAGTACTTGGATGGATGACTATCCGCCGTGGAAAGCCACCTTATCCGGGATAACCCAAGGGAATTTGAGACTCGACATCATGAAGGAAGCATCTCTGACCGACCCGTAGTGGGCCTAATAATGGAAAAACATCGGCTAAAAAAATATATATTTATAATTCTAAAATCTAAATAAACTGTTTAATTAATACCTTAGGCAGAGAGTGAGAATATTTTTAGTTGGCAGAATGGACATTTTACTATATTTTGAGTAAATATTTCAATTGAAAACCTAATTAATTTGTGGAATTTCGTCTGATTTGTAGGTTTTGTAAAATTGCTTGGCTCGAGCTGATGATTGATAATTTTTTCTGCTCAATTAAATAAAATGTAATCATTTCTAAAACTTGTTTTACTTCGAATCTTTTTTCTTTTTTGTTAAGAATAATAGCATTTTTTTTTTATTTAGAATTATAATAAACTGTCACGTGGACAATAATTATAGTGATATATGAACACATTTACACATTACATCTTCTCATAACATAACTAGGTAAGGGGCCCATCTGTAGGCCCCAGATCATTTTTCTGTCGAATAAAAAGCCCGAGATAACGTACAGTGTCTGTCTGAGGAATTTGATTCGCGCCGATATAAAAACTAGTAGGCACGTGTCTCCTCGAAGAGAAAATTTTACGTATGGTGATTTGTCATGATTTAATCTTATTTTCGAAAGTAAGTACCAGTTTTGTAAGTTCAGTAAGTGATTTTGTAAATTCAACTTAAATAGAAAAATTGAATGGTAAATAAAGATTCATAATTCTCTTTTCCTGTTTAAGCTTGATGATATATTCCATTATGTTATTTGCCTCAGTTGGATTGAATTTAGAAAGGTCTAGTTAATGAATTCACAATAACAGGAATTTCCGGCTAGTGGTGTAACTGATATGATTTTTTATGGAATGTTTCCTTTTCCGTTATTATTATTAAGTAAAAAATGTCAATAAATAATAATATTATGCTACTTCCTGAATAGCACAAGTCTGAGGAAGGAAACAAATTTTTTTTCTCGATTATTCACTTACCTTAAATGTTTTACGGACCTCCTCGTTCTTCTAAATTTTCTAGAATCGTTTTCGATTTGATTTTTGTGATGGAAATGTTTTGACAGCATTTCCTCTCCTCAATGTAGGAAATAACATATACACAAAATAATAGATGTGCCAGTGTCCGATTATTAAAATAACATATCTCACTGGTCACTAGTGTTGACCAAATGCGATACCGAGACAAGTCTTGGTCTTGCAAACTCAGTCTTGGTCTTGCGCAAGAGTCTCGCAACGTGTTGCAGTTACTTATTAGCTTATTACTATGGAAATATTACTGCAATTTTTTAGATAGGAGAAACCTAACTAAGCTTGAATGAAAAATCAAAGGAGTTAAATGAAAAGTATATTGGTTATACCAATTATTTACATATAGTAACTAAGGTTGTCAAGTATTAGTAACTAATTTGACTTAATTTTTATTAAAAAAAACGATTTTTTTAACCAGTCCTGGTCTTGGTCTTGCAACAGTTAGGCGGTCTTGGTCTTGGTCTTGCAAAGTGGAAGACCAAGACCGATTTTGGGCATCACTACCGGTTACCGCAGCATCGCGTCTTTCTATAAGAAGTTATTCTATATTATATGCTATCTTACTAAAATTATATCTTTTAATTTTATTTTTGAAAACAAATTAAAATCAAGTTATTGTATTAAAAATTAAATATAAAAATGATCTTTAATTTTTTATTTACTTTATTCATTATTCTCAAGCGATTAATAATAGATTTGTATACTTTATTTTCCATAGTATTTAAAATGTTTGACCTTTACATTATAACGTCTATTTACTCTTAAGTTTATGCCTCACAGGTCAATGTATTACTTTTAGGTTCAATGTTAAAGCTAAAATATATTGGTATATATTTTTTTTTAGATTGCTGAGGAAGGGGACATAGATTGAGATATTTTAATTCATATGCAAAAACACGTCAATTAGTCAACTCCAGCCGACTTTACACATCGAAAATCTGACTGATCAATCAAATTCACTCACCACAAAAATCTGCAAAACGAGCCTAAAGAACTTTTAACTTTAAAAAAAAAAATTGCCTTTTACCCAATTTCGGGTCATAATATGTAGGTATGCAATTTCTTTAAATACACACACACACACACATATATATTAATTTACATTAAGTTAGACAAAAAAATTTGGAATATTATTAGATTACAATTAAAAATGACTGGTTCATTATAGAGCCTATAATATATTAATTGCTTAGTTGTAGATGCTTAACAGGGGGACCGAAGTTCCGCGAAACGTTGATTAATAAATAATAATGAAAAAAAGTGTGATTATTTATTAGATTGGCAGGTTATTGTGAAAAGATATTTGAAGAAAAGGTCAAAAGTGGAAAATGGAAAATCTTTTATTTCTTTAATAGAATTATAATTTATTTATTATTTAACTTTTGTTTTCTAAAGAGATCAAGAGAATATTTTTTAGTTTCTCTTCCCTGTCCTTAACTGATAAAATTGAGAAACGATAATCAGCGGCAAGCCAAAACTAACAGCCCAAGCTTGAAGTTCATTCCTCCCTTCGAGTTCCCAGATGGAAGGGGCAGGTAGCCATTGTCCCAGAGACCTACTGCATTAGAAGCGACAATAGCTCTCTATATTGGCACTGGCAAAATAAGAAGTATGTCGTGGGGGTACAATGTCAAGGCGCTCCAGTCTTCACGGTCGCTCCCATAGAGCTGTGGGAATTCCTCTTCGGCTTGCTTCGGTATCTTTCAGAGGAATCGCCAACGCGAGGCGACGCAACACAGCAGTTTTGTAAGATCATAGCCCTGGAAGCACTTAGGAATATATTAGGTCTCAGGATGGTGAGGTATTTTGTAAGAGCACGTTTCATCATCTTCCATAACTGACCGATCGGGAACAAAGCGATTGGATAATGCGGTCAGTCTTATTAACCGTAGTCTGGTTTAATGCTAATTTATAATGCATTACATATAATCATATTAATTATTAAATAAGTCGGTATGTGTAGCGTTCTTACTTCAAGAATAAGTTCATGACACACATCTGCCTTAAATTCTGAATACCTTATTTATCTTTAGTTTAATCATAATATCTACCACAATGTAAAAAAATTGAAAATATCACTTCAACCGTGTATAATGATTTTTATGTCTTGCGGAATCCTTTCGTTCGACCAGACCTGATGAATGTCTGAACTTAGGGCTGAAACTCCAGCAAAAATAAAAATAAATATACTTATTTATTTTTACTTTTTTTTTTACTGATCGCTCCAACCACTCACCTCTTCAATTCAATCTTTTTATTTGATGTGGTATTGAAGACATTTAATCTTTTATAATAAATTATCTAATTTTTAAACTGCCAACTGTGAAACAAAATTTTTCATTTTATTATTTAATGATTTCTTTAGTCCTTTTGTACATTGGACATTCCATTAAATAATGGTAAAAAGTTTTACGAGTTTTGTAGGTTACATAAGGTACATTTTTTCTACGCCTTTTAATTTATCTCCGTTTCACTTTAGTAGTATATAGTTTTCAGTAAATTGGCTACTATAACTTGGCTGAATGTTCTATGCTTGATTATGTTCGTTCTGAATTTTAAATACTGTTCTGCTAGGTTTTTTTTTATGTTGCCGTTACAGATCTTGTAAATCTTTAGCCGCTTTAACAAGCCTACACGATCTCTGCCTATGTTGGACTATTTCTTTCCAGTTATCTGCGTGCAGCTCTGTACATCATTGATTATTCTATCTATTCATCTACTTTTTGGCCTTTCACGGGGATTTTTCCTCTTCTTTTGAAGCATTCATAGTTGCGTTGAAGCATTCATCAGGCTTCTGGATTGCTCTGAGCAATTTTAAATTAAGCTACTAATATCTTTGTATTTGGAATATATTTTGAACTGAGCATTGAGTTTGTATCATTGGCAACAGAGTGCTTTTCATTTCTAATTATAATGTCTTTGAGATGTAGTTGAACTATTTCAGGGTTAGGGTCATTATGTTCCAAAATCAAAAGTTGAACCCACGGTTTTCTTTTGGCTACGAGTGTCAATTAGAAACCATATCACAATTACTGTCTACTACCATTAATTTTGAAAGAAATAAAAGTAAATTTTATCTTGGGACATTTACGTATTTCCCATATTTACTTATTGATAGTTTAGGATATGAAAAAATAAATGGTGTTTAAATGAGGTTAAAGATGAGGATTTGCTTGAGGAGATAGGTAGGGAATTCGATAAAAGATAGCACGTGTAAGACATATTTTTTTTTTTTTTAAGAAACAGTTCTATGGAAGGAACAAAAGGTTTGTAGACTGGGATCTCGTGTTGAACGAATGTAAAAAGGGAAAAGGAATAAACAAATCATGAATATAAGATGGTTTTTTGGTAGCAAAGGTTCG